GCACCTGCCTAGGGACACCCCTGCTTTAAATAATTATTGCATGATTTGACAAAGGATTTGTATTTCTGCCCATCCCTGTTTAAGATTTTCACAGCACAGCCCTCTCAGACATGATAGGAGATCGGATTTTTTCTTTGTTGCAGTTCAGTAACACTTACTGGTCCCTCCCCCTGCCTGTGATTGGGTGATCAAAGAAGAAGCAATTGACTGATGAGTTTATCACTTTGCTCTAGCCTTTCCAAATGTTTTTTGTTGGCACAATTGATTGGCTCCTTGTGCTGCTTCCCCAGTCCCCCAGTCTGCAATCTGCTGCACAGGTGTCTTATACCAAGTAAAATTCAGGTACTTTTACTGCTTCCATTTAAAAAAAATAAATTTTAGGGCCCTTTCACACTGATGCATTTTTGCTGCATTATACACTGCTAAAAATGCAAGAAAACCGCAATAAAAAAAAATACTTCCATTTAAATCCTATGGGACTCTTCACACCCAGGGCGCTGTGGGTACAGTGTGTTTTCAAAAGTCCTGCATGTGCAATCTTTGGTGCAATTTTTCTAAAACGCACAAAAATGCTGCTCCCTATTGAAATGAATGGTAAAAATGCATCTAAAATGCAGTGGTTGCATTTTTGGTGCACTTTTGAGTCACTGGAAATGCATAATAAACACGTAAAAAATGCCTATGCATTTTTAATGCATTTTTCTTTTCTTTTTTTTTTTTATACGGAGCAGTGTGAAAGCACCCTTATTGAGAAAATACCCTTATGATCATTAAGGAATACAGAGCTGCATTAATTTGTGTTTTTTTTTATATCTGCCCGGAGTCAAACTGATCATCTTCACACGGATATACTGTATAAAGAAATACATTGAAAATGTTTTACACACATATAACAATTTTGTCCCAAACCTGGAGATGGCGCTGTTAGTAATCTTTCTTTGTCTGTGTATAAATAAATGTACATTATATAGGCTCACATCATTGAAGGGACAGCTTACCTGCAATTTGCTGTTTAATAATATTGCCAATTTAATTGCAGACTTGGTAGAATCACTGCTTGAAATGAAAAAAATATTCCCTTTAGAAATCAGATCTGACATCAAATGTTATTATTATTATTATACAGGATTTATATAGAGTCAACAGTTTGCGCAGCGCTTTACAAAATGAAGGTAGATATTACAGTTACAATACAATTTGGTACAAGAGGAAACAGAGGGTCCTGTTTACAATCTAGGATGAAGGGTTGAGTGATATAAAAGGTAATAGCTGTGGGGGATGAGCTGATGGAGGAAATGAATGGCGGTTTACTAGGTAGAAGCAGGATAGGCTTCTTTAAAGAGAGAGGTTTTGAGGGATCGTCTAAAAATGGATTGGGGTAGGGAGTTCCATAGGATGGGAGAAGCTCGGGAGAAGTCCTGGAGGCAAGCATGGGAGGAGGTGAAACGGGAACTAGAGAGTAGAAGATCATGGGTGGATCGAAGAAAGTGGTTTGACTGATATTTTGAGACCAGGTTGGGGATGTAGCTGGGGACAGAGTTGTGGATGGCTTTGTAAGTTGTTGTTAGTATTTTTTAATTTTGTTCGCTGGGCGGGGGGAAGCCAGGGGAGGGATTGGTGGAGAAGGGTAGCAGACACTGAACGGTTGTTAAGGTGGATGAGCCTGGCACCTGTATTTATGATGGGCTGTAGGGGGGATAGCCTGTGTAAAGGTAAGCCAATGAGGATGACGTTGCAGTAGTTGAGGTGAGAGATAACCAGGGAGTGAATTAGGAGCTTTGTGGTATCATTGGTTAAAAAGGGGTGTATTCTGGAGATGTTGTGGAGGTTGAGGCGGCATGATTTGGACAGGAATTGGATGTGGGCCTGAAAGGATAGTTCAGATTCTAGGGTTACACCTAGCATGCAGGGATGGGTTGATAGTGGTGCTATTGATGGTGCTCCCTCCAAAGATGTTCTATTGGATTTAGGTCTGGAGACTGGCTAGGCCACTCCAGAACCTTGATATGCTTCTTACGGAGCCTCTCCTTGGTTATCCTGGCTGTGTGCTTTGGGTCGTTGTCATGTTGGAAGACCCAGCCACGATCCATCTTCAATGCTCTGAATGAGGGAAGGAGGTTGTTGCTCAAAATCTCACAATAAATGGCCCCATTCATCCTCTCCTTAAAACAGTGCAGTCGACCTGTCCCCTTTCCAGAAAATCACCCCCAAAGCATGATGTTACCACCCCCCCATGCTTCACAGTAGGGATGGTGTTCTTGAGATGCAACTCATCCTTCTTTTTCCTCCATCAGCTCATCCCGAGTGAAGTTTAGACCAAAAAGTTTTACTTTGGTCTCATCTGACCACATGACTTTCTCCCATGCCTCCTCTGAATCATCCAGATGGTCATTGGCAAACTTCAGACAGGCCTGGACATGTGATGACTTGAGCAGGGGAACCTTCCGTGCAAAGCATGATTTGAAACCATGACGGCGTAGTGTTCTACCGACAGTGACCTTTGACACTGTGGTCCCAGCTCTCTTCATGTCATTGACCAGCTCCTCCCTTGTAGTTCTGGGCTGATTCCTCACCTTTCTTATCATCAGTGATACCCCACGAGGTGAGATCTTACATGGAGCCCCAGTCCGAGGGAGACTGACAGTCGTCTTTACCCTCTTCCATTTTCTAACAATTGTTCCAACAGTTGATCTGTTTTCACCAAGCTGCTTGGAAATTGCCCCGTAGCCCTTTCCAGCCCTGTGGAGGTCCACAATTTTGTCTCTGGTGTCTTTTGACAGCTCTTTGGTCTTGCCCATGGTAGTAGTTGGTGTCTGACTGACTGTGGGGTGGACAGGTGTCATTGAAGAGCTCAGACAGGTGCTACTAAGTTAGATTAATGAGTGGAGTAGAGGGACTTTTTAAAGGCACAGTAACAAGTCTTTGAGAGCCAGAATTCTTGCTGTTTCTTAGGTGTTCAAATACTTATGTTCAGCAGTGCAAGACAAATTCTTTAAAAATCATACAATGTGATTTCCTGAATTTTTTTTTTAATTCTGTCTCTCAGAGTGGGAATGCACCTACAATGTGATTTTCAGCCCCCTCCGTGATTTCTAAGTGGGAGAACTTGCAAAATTGCAGGGTGTTCAAATACTTCTGTTCCTCGCTGTATGTAGTGTCCCTCTGGGTAGCCAGGGGGAGCTATTAGCTAATTTGTGTTTAGAAGGGCTGAACAGCAGCCTGGGAATAGTCAGCAGGGTCAAATTTGGGTTAAGTCTGAGAAGCTTTGCAGATCAGTTCCTTGATACCTCCCCCTGCTCTAGAATCTTAGAAAAGATTCTAGAAGCAGTTGGTGGGGGTGAGGAGGGGCTGATCTGCATAATTAGGGGATCCTGGCCAATCCCCAGGCAGGAGGCTTGGCATGGGGTCAGGACAGCCCTTAAGTATGACTGAGCCTGCTCCGCAACAGAAGGTCGAAGATGTGAGACAGGAAGAGATGCAGGAGCATGGGAGTGGGCCCAGTGTGGGAAGGGGCCTACCTACAGGCTGGGACATGGACAGGAGGATCACTCAGCCTCACCAGTCCCTGGAGGGAGGACTACCTGTGGAGCCAGGAATGGAGCCAGCCCAACAGAAGGCCTGAAGGCAGCCACCTACCTACACCAGCTCACACAGGAAAGAGACTGAGTGAGTAATCCTATATCCCCTGGGCCAGCTAAGCGGAAAAGAGCACTCTGGTGAGAAACCTGATTAGCTCCTAACCCGGAACTGTTCATCTGAAAGTGGTAGGCACTGGATCCCCTTTCCCAGGGATTCCTCCAGACAGTTGGGTAAAGAAAAGGATTTATCTGGGGTGTGGGATTGTACACAAGAAGGGGCTGGAGAGCTCTCCCAGAAGAGTCTCTGCTGTGTAAAGACTTGTATATCATTGCCAGGAAGTTGTTCTCAGTTTGCAGTTCCCTTGGGCATCTCATACACTCCTTACCCCATCCAAGTTCAATACCCCTAACAAAACTTTAAAACCAAGCTCAAGGACTGTTTACTGTCTCTGGAATGCAAGTCTTTGGAAAATGTATGTTGCCAGGCTGTGCAGGACTATAAGGGGACCCAAATCTTCAGCAACTCCTAAGGAGGTAGTGCTACACATATGAGATTGTGATATAACATTTGATGTCTATAACTCTGGTATGTATGCCTTTATTATATGCTCAATTTGAATTGCTGAGGTGTGTGAAACGTTTATCTTTAAGTTTGAATCCACGTCAGCATGATATATAATGCATTAATGTGTCTTCTGTTATGCATTCATTTAAAAAAGACAACCAGCACTCCAATCATGCTATTCATTTGTAAAGGCTTCCAATGCACCACAATGGACTAGAAATTGCATCTGCACTATTGGGGTACCAGTGTAAGTGAATGACATTGTAACACACCAAGGTGTACATGGTGCATCACAACACATTACTGCCATGCAAGGTGTGTAGGAGGCCTAAATGAAATATTTTTATAACCGCTTGTGTAAAAGAACAATTATGACATTTAACCACTTGCCTACCGGGCACTTATACCCCCTTCCTGCCCAGGCCAATTTTCAGCTTTCAGTGCTATTGCACTTTGAATGACAATTGCACGGTCATGCAACACTGTACCCATATGACATTTTTATCATTTTTTTGAGACAGATAGAGCTTTCTTTTGGTGGTATTTAATCAGCTATGGGGTTTTTATTTTTTGCTAAACAAACCAAAAATAACTGAAAATTTCTGTTATAAAATTTTGTAAATAAGTGATTTTTCTCCTTCACTGATGTGCGCTAATGAGGCTGCAGTGATGGGCACTGATAGGCGGCACTGATGAGGAGGCACTGGTAGGTGGCACAGATGGGCATTGACAGGCATCACCGATGGCACTGAAAGGCAGCATTCATACATGGCACTGATAGGTGGCACTGATGGGCAGCACTGACTGACACTGATAGGCGGCACTGACTGGCACTGTTAGGTGGCACTGACTGGCACTGTTAAGCGGCACTGATAGGTGGCACTGACAGGCGCTGATAGGCGGCACTGATAGGCAGCACTGACAGGCACTGATGCACACTGATAGGTGGGACTGATGGGCACTGATGCACACTGATAGGCGCGGCACTGACTAGCACTGATAGGTGGCACTGATAGGCACTGAGGTGGCTCTGATTGGCAGCACTGACTGGCACTGATAGGTGGTGCTGACTCACACTGATAGGTGACACTGAAAGGAAGCTCAGATGGGCGCTGATATGTGGCATTGATGTGCACTGGTAGGCACTGATATGTGGCATTGATGTGCACTGGTAGGCACTGATATGTGGCATTGATGTGGCACTGATGGGCACTGGCAGGTGGCATTGCTGGGCACTGACAGGTGGCACTGATGGGCACTGGCATGTGGCATTGCTGGGCACTGACAGGTGGCATTGATGTGCACTGGTAGGCACTGATATGTGGCATTGATGTGGCACTGATGGGCACTGGCATGTGGCATTGCTGGGCACTGACAGGTGGCATTGCTGGGCACTGACAGGTGGCATTGATGGACACTGACAGGTGGCACTGATGGGGCTATACTGATCATCAGGGCACACTGACGTCATCGGCTCTTTCTGTTGATAGGTGATCTGCTGTGTCCCAGGTACACATGCACCACCAATTGCCGCGCTGCCACGCTCGGTTAGAAGGGGATAACATCATATGACGTCCTCCCAGAACCAGAGAACCGCCTTGCACCTGTCATTACCTTATATGGCGGGCAGGAGGCGGTTAAAATGCAGCAACCCCAAACATCCAATCAGACCGTAGTTGGCTAAATTATGCACTCTATTGCCTTATTTACTAGGGTAGTGTTCCTCTAAAAAGCGTTTTTAAGTGTTGTCAGTTTTTCCATATTTTATTCAGCACAGAGAACAAATTCTTCAAAATTATTTACGTTTCTGTCATTTCCACAACAGTCATATTTTTATGTGTTTTTAAATTGCTTTTATTCTCTTCTGCTTTGTACTTTATTGTCAAGCAGTGATGTGTTTTATTCCTTTCTTCTAAACCCATTAACTGGAGCATCGTTGTCTCCCAGTCCCAAGCAGATGGAGTTTAAAGCTTTGCTGCCGTCTCTGAGCTTAGTCAGGTTTTCCCTAGGCCTTTTGCATCCATAATAAATATAGATTCATGCTTTTTATGTTTGCTCTTTGTTATGTTTGACTTTTGTTGGTTTCTTTGCCTTGCGAGGTATACCACAGCTAGAGGCTCCGAGGTCCCAGTGGTAGAAATGAACCGTAACCCCTATAGGCCCAGACTCCCAGGCAATTCTTGAAGGGTCTGTACTTTTGAGTGTGCCTGCAAACTGGGGAATGCTCCTGGTGGGCTCTGACCTATCATAGTCTGTGTTAATAAAATAGTAAAATGACTCCAGTAATATGCAAACTAGGCAGATGTGTAAATAATTAAAGCTGAACTCCAGCAAAACAAATAAATAAATAGACCATTAAAATCAAAATTTAAAAAAAAAAAAACGCAGCTTTGCTTCAATACTTACCTTCTATCCTGAGCTAGGATTTGCAGTAAATTCCTTTCTGCCAATAGATTTTCTTAATGTTTTGGGTTTACTGATGGCCACTGTTTCTGAAATCCTCCTAGTCTTAGCTCGGGCTGTCATGGACCCACCAAAAAGAACAACCTCCTGCTCTCAAGATGAATGCTCTGGCAATGGAAGACCTTGAATCTTCAACCGCTAAATTTTGACAAGACTTTGCAGCCCCCTAAGGACTGGGGAAGTCCAAAGGGTACACTAGAATAACAAGAAGAGCAGGTGCACCAACCTTGCGCATTACCATAGATCCTTTTACTGAAGTGGTAAAGTAGATGTATAGTCACAAACAGCATATCATCTCAAGCGCATCAATAACAACCGTATCCTAGGTGACCTGGTCCCTGCATGAGTCCCAACCGCAAGAAGACACTCAAAATGGCTGACATGTTTCGAATAAATGGGAAATTGAACATAAATGAGTACACAGTTGATGGTAACACAGTCTGCTAGACAGAGTATTAACTATGTTAAATTGGAAAAAAATTACATTTTACTGTATACCCCTAACTAGAATCAGGAGGGTAGGTTAGTAAATCAGCAATAAACAATATAAGTAAACTTTCAATACAGTATAAATGTCAGGAAAGGCTTGCTCATAGTACAAAGCGCATAAATATGTGCATGTGCAGAATGGCAACTGGCCAGGCAGATGTGCACAAATATGAACATAGGCACGCACAAGCGCACATGGGTGCCTATCACCAAGGCTGGCGCCAAACGGCCTATTTAAATGGGACCACTGCACTGGCTAATTGCTGTTTTGGTCTGAAGCTTCTGTGTGTGCTTGCCCTGCTGTGCCATCTGTCGGCTACCAGTCTGCCCTGCTGTGCCATCTGTCTGCTGCCAGCTTGCCCTGCTGTGCCATCTGTCTGCTGCCAGCTTGCCCTGCTGTGCCATCTGTCTGCTGCCAGCTTGCCCTGCTGTGCCATCTGTCGGCTACCAGTCTGCCCTGCTGTGCCATCTGTCGGCTACCAGTCTGCTCTGCTGTGCCATCTGTCTGCTGCCAGCTTGCCCTGCTGTGCCATCTGTCTGCTGCCAGCTTGCCCTGCTGTGCCATCTGTTGGCTACCAGTCTGCTCTGCTGTGCCCATCTGCTGCCAGCTTGCCCTGCTGTGCCATCTGTCTGCTGCCAGCTTGCCCTGCTGTGCCATCTGTCTGCTACCAGTCTGCCCTGCTGTGCCATCTGTCTGCTGTCAGTCTGCCCTGTTGTGCCATCTGTCTGCTGCCAGCCTGCCCTGCTGTGCCATCTGTCTGCTGCCAGTCTGCCCTGTTGAGACATCTGCCTACTACCGGCTGCTCTGTTCCTGGCATCCTTTCAACAAAGTGACAGCTATTACCCACGCAGACTACTGGACTGATCAGGGCACTCATACCTTGCCATGCTCTCATGGTTACTGTCCCACTATCAGTGACCCCTGAGCCAGAGCTGTAGCAGAGGCCTTCGTCTGCATGTCAGACATTACCAGGTACGTGACAATAAATGATGATAACACTACACTAGGTTAAAGTGCACTCTATAGGATTGGCTGGGATACAGAGTATCTTAATAGGTACCTCTTTAACCACATCCCTGCCGCCCTATAGCAGATATACTGCTACAGGGCGGCAGGGGTGCGCAAAAACACATGTATATATCAGATTTTGTATTTCTGGGTAGGGGGCACGCACACACGCCCTACCTGCGCCGCGGTAGATTACCGAGCATCTCCGATGGGGAGGAGGACTGCTTTATTTACTAACAGTCCTCCTCCCTGTCAGCTCGGGCACACTGCTCTGGATGGATGTGCACAGAACAGTGTGCTTACAGTAAAGCACCAACACACCCGCGCCCCCCAGTAAAACACTCCCAGCACACAGTTAACCTTTTGATTGCCCCTCATGTTAACACCTTCCTGCCCAGTGCCATTAGTACAGTGTCAGTGCTTTTTTTGATCATTGTATTGGTGTCACTGGGGATGTCATTGAGACCAAGTCAGTTCCCCCCTGTGTCAGATTGCCCGACGCAGTCCTGCAGTCCCACTATAAGTATAGTCGCTGATCGCCACCATTTCTAGTAAAGATAAAAAATAAATCCCAGTATATATACTGTCATTTGTAAACGCTATAACTTTCACGTAAAGCAATTCATTTACATGTACTGGGTTTTTATTTTTAGCAAAGACATGCAGCAGAATACATTTTGGCCTATAAGTCGCTGATCGACGCCATTACTAGTAACAAAAAAAATTCCAGTATTTATACCGCCATTTGTAAACACTAGAACTTTCACGTAAACCAATTAATTTACACGTATTAGGATTTTTTTTACTAAAGACATGTAGCAGAATACATTTTGGCCTAAATTTATGATGAAATTTGATTTTTTTAATTTTTTTACTGGATATGTTTAATAGCAAAAAGTCAAAAATATTGTTTATTTTCTCAAAATTGTTGGTCTTTTTTATAGCGCAAAAAATAAAAAACGCAGAGGCGATCAAATGCCATCAAAAGAAAGCTCAATTCATGGGAAAAAAAGGACGTCAATTTCATTTGGTGCAGCGTTGCATGACCGCACAATTGTCAGTTAAAGTAAAGCAGTGCCGTAACGCAAAAAATGGCCTGGTCATGAAGGGGGTAAATCCTTTGGAGAGCAAGGGGTTAACAAAACAAATAACAAAATAAACACAAGGCCTCAGAACTGCAACTATTAACCACTTGCCCTCCAGAGGATTTACCCCCCTTCCTGACGAGGCCTCTTTTTGTTACTCGCACTGCACTGATTCAACTGATAATTGCACGGTCATGCAATGCTGCACCTAAACGAAATTTAAGTCCATTTTTTCACACAAATAGAGCTTTCTTTTGGTGGTATTTGATCACCTGTGCGCTTTTTATTTTTGCGCTATAAACAAAAAAAAAAAGACCGAAAATTTTGAAGAAAAACAATATTTTTTTTTACTTTCGGCTTTAAAAAATATATAGTAAACTAAAGTTAGTCATGAATTTAGGGCAAAATGTATTCTGCCACGTGTTTTTGGTAAAAAAAATCCCAATAAGTGTATATTGATTGCTTTGTGTGAAAGTTATAGCGTCTACAACTATGGTATAGATACTGGAATTTACAAAATTTTTTGCTATACAGCGCTGCAATAGTTTAACTGACAATTGCGCGGTCATGCAATACGGTACATACATTAAATTTATGTCCTTTTTTTCACACAAATAGAGCTTTCTTTTGGTGGTATTGTATCACCTGTGTGCTTTTTATTCTTGGCGCTATAAACAAAAATTTTTGAGAATTTTTTTTTTGTTTAAAAACCCGATGTTTTCTCATTTCTGTGATAAAAAATTTCCAAAAAAACTAAAATTTCGTCATAAATTCAGGCCAAAATGTATTCTACTCCATGTTTTTGGTTAAAAAATCCCAATAAGTGTATATTGATTGCTTTGTGTGAATGGAATTTACACATATATTTCTCGCACAAGCCATGGGTATATGTGGAATTACACCCCAAAATACATTCTGCTATTTCTACCGAGTATGGGGATACCACATGTTTGAGACTTTTTGGGAGCCTAGCAGGGGCGGACTGACCATTTGAGCACTCGGGCACTGCCCGAGGGCCGGGGTCAGTAGGGGGACCCATGAGATGCACCTGGTACCTTTTATAGGCTTTTTAGGGTGTGCTTTGAGTGTGGGCAAGGACACAGGGGCCCCTTAATCCCCTATTGCCCAGGGGCCCCATGAGTTGTTAGTCCACCCCTGGAGCCTAGCCACATACACAGGGGCGGACTGACAACTCATGAGGCAATAGGGGATCATGGGGCCCCTGTGTCCTTGCCCAAACTCAAAAAAGCCTATGAAAAAGGTACCAGGGGCATCTCATGGGGCCCCCTACGGACTCCGAGCCTTCGGGCACTGCCCGAGTTTCCAAATGGTCAGTCCGCCCCTGCACATACAGGAGCCTGAAATCCAATGACCACTTTGAAAG